GAGACGTGTTAGAGTGAGATCAGGAGAGATTATAAGAGCAAGCTGAGAAGGGGGGCGTGGGTCCAAAGGTGCTTATCTGAAGCTGTGTGAGTTACATAAACACTGACCCCTGCCTGCCTGCCTGCCTGTCTGCCTGCTTTGCTGCTGGATGGAAATCAGGTTGCAGCATCCAGTCAGAGCATTTAAGGTCACAATCACGGCCAGGACACTATGTACAGCCAAGAGGTGACACAGCAGGCTGAGACACCAATAATATCTACAGTACACCAGGGTACACGGAAGGGCTAGGAAATATGTTTTTGGCTTGTTGCCTCATAGCGGTGTTCACAAGAGCTCTACACTCTTTGCCTTTTGAAAACTAACCAAGATGAACAGATTTTCTGGAGATTAGGGGGGAAAAGGCGTAATTTTGTAATTGTTGTTAAAAGTTGTTTAGATTCATCCTGTTAGGGATACAATGTAATCTGTGAAGGGAGTCAGTCACCATCCCATCCCAAGACGCTGTACCCTTAGCATGGTTGAAGATATTGCTGTGCAATACTGCACATTTCGGCACCAATCTGATGCCAGATACAGGGCCAGTATCACCAATACCAATACTTTTGATATATAATGGCAGTTTATGTGAGGGAGAGCAGTGTGTCGTGATTCATGAGATGAATGGTCGTTAATTTGCCAATTCTGAACACATTTTAATGACCACTAAATCACTGTGATTTTTACTGTACGTAATAATTAGCTAATACAAAAAAATCTTTTAGCTTTTTGTGGGGTTTGGAGATCTGGATTGCAAATATGCCTGTCTCTACACAAAAAGGTTCACACATTTTTCACAGTGCATGTTTGAGGTCTAGTTTTTTTTTTTTTTTATAACCAAAAAAGTGTCGTTCATGTGTGACCCATTGGACGCTGCCTGCATTTGCTCTTTCCTGCAGCACCTGCAGTACCCACATTGCTCGAGCCGCACACCTTACATTTTACGAGCTTGGCTAACATCACAGAATATCAGATTAAATATGTGATGGCTTGCAAGGGCAAAATTTGGACACGCTTCAGTTAAAATGCCAAAGAGGGAGCGAGTGTATTCATACCAAGAGAGGCTGCACAGCCATCAAAGAGCTAGATCACAAATCTCAAGAGACGCTGCAGAGCGCACCTGCGTACAGTAATGGGGGTTAGCTGAGGTGCCTGCCTGTAAATTTGAAGTTCAGAAGAAACAATGTGCTTTACTGTCTTTTTCCTCTCCTGAATTTACTGCAAATGCGGGATCTTACTTCATTGTCTTTCGCCAGACCTTTCATTGACACTTTTTCCTATGAAAAACGGAAATTCTATCCCACTGTGATGTTGCCACAAAAGATAAGCCTTAATAAGACCTAGTCTTCCCTTTAAATCAATAACAAATATTCTCAAGAGTAATCCACCTTTTGCAAATCACACCCCTTTAAAATCAGACCAGACAAACCCCAGCTAGACGCTGCTATCTGCAGTTATGGCCCGAAGAGCTACATGAAAGCTAAAGATGCAGATTTGAAATATGTACTGCAGTATTGCAATACCTAAACTCCTTTTTTTGTTCATAGTGTGTTTGCAAAGAGAGACTTGGGCGATCGGAGCAAATACTTTATGCTGTCAGTTTTGATTGGTCACAAACTAAGCAGTGACATTGCTCAGTTAGCTTAGACACTGAATTAAAGCTTTGACATTTATTGTAACACAGGTATAATTCAGCTGCAATTTAGTAGCTAAAAATAATGTTTTTCTCAGAATGCTTTTCATGCTCATCTTAAGAAATGATTCACTCAATGCTTTTAAAACCTGTTAGCTTCACTCATTCTTTTCCCCACTGTAATAGTGAAGGGCAGCAGCAATTAGGCCGGAGCCATCATTTTACGGCTAAGAAGGACTTATAAATGATCGGCAGCTCTTTTATTTTCTCTTTTGAAGCATGAACTTGCTGGCTTTGTCTGTCAGACATGTTCTTATAATGATAATGCCTTAAGCTCAGCCTCCAATTTCTTAAATAATAAAGGTTGAACATTTTAGTGCACTGCACGTGTTATACATGAAAGTTTTTTTTTAAAGCTTAAGAAGATTAGATGGTTGATTTGTGACTGATTTGTGTTGATAGAGCTGTTTTTTTTAAAGCTGTTGACTCATGAAACACTATTAAGTCAATAGATGTGAAAACTGGGTGAAAAATAAGTCCACTGACCCACTCATCAATAGTTTATGTGCTAACTTGGTAACACTGATTCTACCCCAGTTCACACATAATTAAAATAAACTTTACTGATGCATACTATAGCAAAAAAAATGACTTAAAAACACTAAAACTATAAACATTGTAAAAGCGCATTCCAGAAAAATGAAACAGTGTATGGTGTGTAGAACATACTGAAGGGCCACGCATACCATCTTGTCTTGCCTGGACAAGAACCGAGGCTATCACTAAAACAGGATTTAGCCTAAATCTGACAGGCTGGGATTAAAGGAAAAGAACAGAGGCTCATCTACTGCTGTGCCTGCTCACATGTGATGTGCATATAGGATTTATTCATGCTTGCACACTTGCAGTTTTTCACCTTGAATGCTTCAAATGATCTTTGATCATGAAACTTTCAAAATGTCAATAAATGTGTGTGTAAATTTAAGTTGGATAGAGATAAACATAGCACATCGATATTGACCCTGCATTTGATAATTGGGTGAAATTAAAACTATCAGGTCTGTTCTCGAAAGAAAGATTGAAATGATATCTTATCTATACAGTATAGGATGATCTGCAACAAACACTCCACTAAATTGATTTCAGTCACATTCCTGCATCCAAAGTTCAACACCACATTGATTTCCCTCTGATCCTTCTTAGGTCGAATGTGAGTGTAACCAAGTGGCCTGTTTGCTTAAACATACGTGCATTAAAACCAGTCTTTAATGGGACCGAAGGCATCCGCTCACATGCTAGAGATTGCAACGAGTATGGCTGCTTTAAGCTGTTAGTATAGATAAGCTGTGGGGTATCAAGTGAATGTATCACCATAGCACCTCTCTATTACACTATGTGTGGATGGAGCTGTATTGGATGGACTTGCAGAGCTTATACAGAGAAGCTCATCCACAGCATTCTGTAATTATCTAGGTCTGCACAACTGGGGCAAAACCAGTCGTGCTTATTCGGCTGTAGTGCATAAGCTCAGTGACCGTGAAAAAGTGGAAACTATAATATAATCAATCTCATTTAGGGGAAAAATGTCATTACAATAGCTTAAACAGTGTATGGACAGAACTTGTAGCCTGCCTGATTGCCTGCATTTTCAACAAAGCATCCAGGGGTGGTGATTTAATATGCGTGGAATTCCTTCCTGTACAGCCCAATAAAGAGCACGGTTTTAGTGAAATTATATAATAAAAATGCAAACGATACAAAAACATAGAGAAGTAGACGACGGTGTGGAGTGTGGTTAAAAACACATCCTCTGCTGCCTCCACGTGGCGTATTGTGTTACTACAACTCAGCAATAACCAACAACACCTAATGATAATAACATAACATAACAGACGTATATATGTACTTTATTCTCACCCTGCTTTCTGATTTATCATTCAGTTCATTTCTAGCATCCAAAGTAATTTACGTGTGCGGTAAGAATGAACGTGGAAGCAACGGTTAAGGTTAGCGGCGTTTCATATGAGAACTCACGGTAGTTGTTCTCAGTCGTTGTGTTGTAATGCTAGCTAGTTATACTACTGAGTACACGTAAACTACTACTCATATAAAAGCGCATAGAATCAACGCTGCCTTTTCAGTCTTTGGCATGTTTGAGTTAGCTAAAGGAGCTCGCTTAAAACCTACAACACGTATTTGCAGCTAACTTCACTCATATCCTGCTAGCTGTCTTTTAAAAAGCTATAAACATAAATTACAGTTTACTGTCATCGTTTCAGCTGTGTCGTTGTAAAGTAGCTGTACGAAAATAGACAAATACACCTAAAATTTTAAGCACAGTCTCTTCACTTTCTTCAAAAGTCGACGACCCACACTGGCGATACCATCCGGTCCCATGGTGTAATGGTTAGCACTCTGGACTTTGAATCCAGCGATCCGAGTTCAAATCTCGGTGGGACCTCGTCCTTTTCTACTAGAATACAATAAAATACGGGTTTCTTTCAGAAAATCGACATGTACTTAGAAAACAGCGAATAACCTTAAAGCAGATATATGTATGCCCATGTTTAAGATATTTTACAAAATAATGTATTATACACGTAAACACTTGGGGAAGATTGTCCTGTCATATCAAATTGTTATTTGATGATTTAATGGTCAATGGAATGGAAATCTAAATGAATAATTCTAAATGAATTATCAATTCATTAACAAATGCCTATAATGAAAAACAAATTTACAGAAAAAACTCTAAACATTAAACTCTCAATAAAACCTAAATCTATTTAAAATTGCAATTTCCTTTCCCTATTAGCTGCTGGATTAACTATTAAATTAACTTTAGCATTTCAGTGACTATTTTGGTCCTCGGAAATAATCAAACATGTATTAAAGGTGAAATATTAATGTGTACACAAATTTACTAATGCATATTTTACTGCACAATTCATTAATAAATCAGGAAACATTTCATTTTGATGCGCATGACTTTGCTGGTCATCCTAGCAAACCGCTTATTTCCCAACATATAATCTCAATTAGCTGTTAAAGTTAATAGTACTTATTTTAATTACTTTATATAGTGTTGGTTTACACTAAATAAGATATATTAAATAAAATAAATAATGAACAAACCAAAAAAGAAATAAAGTAGCACACAGATTGCCATATTAAATATACGCCAAATAATAAAGTAACTAGCAAAACTTAAAATAGTTTAATAGGAAAATAGTTGAGCATAAGTATGTAAAATAACAGCAGAAACACTTATGTAAATTACAAATATTCCCAAAATAACCCAAAGTATAGAATAGTAACAGACACAGCAGGATTATATTCACACAAATTTATTTCCACACATAAATGGCAGTGTTAAAAATATAAATACAGTATTATGTTTGTCTGTGTAGGTTCTCAGTCATCCACGTCATGGCGATCTAAGCAGCTGTGAAAGAAACACGACTGGAGTTCTTTAGGGTTCTTGAAGACAGATGGCTTGAAAGAGGAGTGAAAGACGCCATCTATGTCCATGGTGAACGACCATCCTTGAGTCGTTTTTCTTTCCAAGCTCCTTAGAGTAATATGTTTGAAGTGAAAATTTGTTTTGGCACTTTATTGGAATGTTTCTCAAATTGCTTTGCAAATGCATCCATGACAGTTGTTTCTCTGCTGAGCAGGCACTTCCCAAGTGGGTGGGATTAAGTGAAATAGCTCTTTCACAGCACTTTCTCATGCTTAGTTAATTTCCTGTTACCTCACTATATGCACACTGGAGCCTTTGTTTTTCTATTATGATGCGTGTGTATGCATGCTGTAATAACAGCTAAATACATTTGCTAACAGCTCACCTTTAACAATAAGACTTGCTCAGTTTTCTAGTGGACTGTAGCCAGGATACATACAGTGCACTACTATTAAATTGTATTTCTGTAAAGTCACTGTAAATGCATAACTGTGCAAAGGGAGGGGGAAAGCATTGTGTAACACTAATAAGCACTCTTTGAAATAATAAAACAGCAACACTATGGAAAAACTATAACAAAAAAGGCACACACATCTGTTACGCACAAACTCTTCTCCTGTCTACAGAAGTTAGACAAAAGCTCATCTTCATTTCATCTGAAACCTCAGGGTATTAAAGCTTTACATCAGATCAGTATAACCTGTTCCATTACAATAAAAGTAATAAAAGAAACATTAATGGCAGACATTAATAAGTGCATTTTTTTCATACATTGTTCACAAGAAAGTAGTGGGGAATTTGTGAAGAAACAAATCGTCTGATACCAACAATTGGTGGTTTAAAGTTCGACATTCCTTTTTTCCCCCTTTAAACACATGAAACATGAATAGATTTTCCTTATATTTTGTTATGTGTAGCTATTTATTTACTTTTATATGCTCTGCCCAGCTGGTTGTTGTGTTTGCTTCATTCCAAACAGGTGTGTTACCAACAGGGAAGTTGCAGAGTGCCCCCTTGTGGACAAAATATTCATCATCAACATTCATGGCATAATTGAAGGGTAGCCCTCCCATCTTGTTTTCTTTTACAAATTTGAATTATCAACCATATTTAATGTCTTCAGTACCAATAGATTGGCTGAGATTGGCTGATAGTATTGGTCTGCCGATAAATTGGTCAGGGTCTAGTGCACACACTATTTATGGAACTTTTCTGAGCATTTCCTGTACTTAAACCTCAGCCTCAGAGTTTTGAGCCAACCTAGTTGAGCCGTTCTAGTTCTTATTAATCTCATTGTAGAGAAACTGAAACCGGAGCTCAGCAAGAGACAATGAGAAAAGACGAGCAAAAGAAATATTTTTTTGCATATGTAAATATAGTTTGGATAATATGTAAATAAAGTTTCGAAAAATAAAATACCACTCCTGTATTTTATCTCTTTTGCTGACTGTCCAAAAACCCCAACATTCTGGCTGCTCAGTTACAGATTGAAGTTAAGGGATAAAACTCCAAACTATAACTAGCTACGACAAGTCTAGTTAAACCACAACACACACAATATTGTTTAATCTTTACCTTACATTCTCTTGAACTGAACTAACTTAATTACATTGTGTAAGAAACAGCTAGCATAGCAGTTGCTAGCTTCACCTTTTGCTAAAATCTAACTTGGTTCAGCTTTTCACCTCAGTGGGTTTGCTTGTGTCATTTACTTAGGTGATGAAGTACCATAACGCCACTTCCATTTACCAAAATTGGTATTTTTTGACAAAATGCTAAAGAATAAGTAGGGTTTAAGTTTCAGATTATCCAGCTGCAGCTATTGGGCCAGCTAGCTTAAACTTTGGATATAATTTTTAGATTTACATGTCTAGTTAGCTGCCTTTCTGTATCATTTGGTTTTGAAAAATAAAAATTAACATCTTATTCTTATTTTTTTTTCATTGTTACAGTAAAAACCAACTCAAACTAAATATTACAGCATTTTGCCTTTTTTTGCATTTTGTATAAGGCAGATTAGTTCTATAACAGTGTATTTTCCAAACTCTCTGGGCACAGCACTCCCTCTGGTAATAAATTCCAGCTCTATTATAGGATTCACTGTGGTGTGAAATTTAATATGTGAAACAACTTAAATGAGGATGCTGGCTTTCAAGACAACATGAGGTGTTTTTATCTTTCTTAAATAAAAGTTTGTAAAAAAAAAAAAATCACATCTGTGGGCTACGACATTCACTTGGTCACTCTGATATACAGTTAAGCATTTGGCGGCTCTATGGGGCAACTAATGACACAAACACTCACCTGAAAATATGCATTAACTGTTTAGAAATGAGCAATGTTTTCATACACAGTTATCAGAGGCTTAAATAAGGCTCCAGATAAAATATCTAGATTGATTGCAGTTGCTGGAACTCTCAATATGAGGTCCCGCAAGGTGTCCATGAAAGTGAAAGAGGAAATCATTCCCAAAAAAATAAACCTATCAGACAGATAGCAAAAGCTTTTCAAGTGGCCAAATCAACAATCTACTACATTTAGTAGAAAATGTAGTGCTGACCATTAACAGCACTAGAAGATCTGGAAGCCCACAAAAGGCAACTTAAAGAAGATGATTGCATATTCTTTCCTTGTTTAGCAAGACCCTTTGAATTTAGCTAACCCAAGAACGCTCTCAGGGAGGTAGCTGTATAATTTTAAAGTCTACAATCAAGCTAGTCACCTCATCTCAGTCTAATAAAGCATGCTTTTCAGTTACTAAATACAAAACTAGAGGCAGGGAAATCCACAAACAAGCAGCAACTGAATGTGGCTGTGGTTAAGACCTGGCAGAGCATCTCAAAGGAAATGCACCATTGATGATATCCATAGTTTTTCTCCAAAAGGATTTTCATCCAAATCTTAAAAAACTGTTCAATTAAAATTAAAATTTAAAGTAATTGGTTTATCCAATTACTTAAAGAAAATAGGGGACAATGTAATAAAATGGCTGAAATTCCTAAACAGCTAATGCAATACTTTTATTAATCGCATCTTGATTGTTTGATTTGCTGTAGATCGTGTTTGGTGGTGTAGAGATGTCTCATTGTCCAAAAATCTATTTTCCTAACTGCATCTAAGATACAGCGTCAGGATTGTCATCTTTCTCTATTTTGATGAAAACTACAAAAAACAAACAACAACTGAAACTTGACTTGACTGCAGCAACATAACAAAACGTTACAATACGATTACTGGATATTACTGGATATGATGAACGACGATGATAAACACTTGTTTTTTTCATCAGTTCCTAAAAGTCCAAAAACGTAAGCGTAGAAATGTGCTACACATTACATGCTTTTAAATCGCTCTCCAGACATTATGTACATACATACAAAACCTAACATTTATTGTGAAAACTCTCCGTCAGTCCCTGTTTTTTTCAGTGTGTGTTGTGTGTGTGTGTGTGTGTGTGTGTATATGGCACTAAAACCGTCACCTCTGTGTTTTATCCAATCAGATTTGAGTGGTCTCCAGCATGTTGCTTATCTCCCCGTTGGTGCATGCATTGCTCTTCTTCCTGCTGGCGTTTTGCGGCACCACGGAGATCGAGTCCTTTTTTTCCGAAGGTGCATTGGCAGGCGGCTCTACGTTCGTGGTGATGCGGCTGGTTTCGGTGATGGAAGAGTTGGTGTGGTAGTTAAAGTGGTTGTTGGTGAGAGGTGTTTCACCCCAGCCGGTTTTGCCCCAGGCAGATTTACACTGAAACCACTTCCTCCGCACTGCTGTTTGAGCCTGCACATCAACAGTGAATAAATGTCATCTTATCTATGCTCTTTAGCCAATTCTAAGTCAACATTTTGGAAATTCGGACAGAATTTATATCGAATGAGTAAAAAAAAATCTGCATTATTTGTGTCATGACTGAAGTCTTAGTCAGTTTAGCACTTTGAAAATTTCTTAGACATACCTCAGCATTGCAGAAACAGAAAATAGATGCCACCAGGAGTCCCTGAAAAGTAACAGCCACAGATTCAATAGCAGTAAAAAAACATTTCTCAGTGAGAGCACTATATACATGGTGAATTTGGAATGGGCTAATATTAATACACAGTGCTTATTTATGCAGTTTTAGGAGCAAAAAGTGCTCTTTGTCACTGCATGTTGCAAATTATCAAAAGCACTCTTTGGTTTGATCACAGAGTTTAATGTATCTCAAGTGTGCCATTGTTTTGAGTGTACCTGGAAGTGAGTGAAGATGTTAACAAAGAACTCATAGACAGCGTGGCTAATGCGTCCATCCGGCGCCCAAGGCATGAGGATATACTGGATTCCCAGCAGAGGGATGAGGATGAGCGTGGCTCTCACTGCTTTCATGTAGGCCGTGGACTCAGCACAGTGTGTCTCTTTCAGTTTGGTTATCAGAACCCGGACGATATTCAGGAGAAAGAAAAAGTTCACCTGGATAGATGGATGGAGGGGGATAGAGAAAAATATATGTGGTTAAAACAAATATGGATGAGAAGAATGAGACATAATGTTTATTATGAGGCTTTAAAAAAAATCGTTTATACGGAAAATACAACAAGTGGCCTGATGGTGGCACTGGAGTCCCAGTAATTAAGGAGACTGAAGTTTAATACATGACTACTTACTGTATACATTGTGTGCCTTTTACAGTTTAATACAATCATTTTGGCACTCGTTTCAGAACCTGGATGTCATGTTGGGTACTACATGCTAATGTGTAACATGTTTTCAGGCCAAATCTGCTCTACAGTAATACTTTTTCTCCTGTAATTATTCCAGTGGAATTGACACTAAACCAGGCAGAGACACACTCCTAACTGATGAACAATAGTTGGCCGTAATTGGCTTCTTCTGCACCAGAAGACAACTTCAACAATGTGGAATCTGTAAGTATGCCAACCACTGCACATATGCTGAAAAGGTACCCAATTTCCCTAAAACAGCTCTACTATGTGCTTTTCGAGAGAAATGCAGACATAGAGAAGCAACAGACCATTAAGTATGTTCAGTTTATGGCTCTGGATGCAAGTAAAAACACTCTTAAGTTCATTTTTGTGGCTCAGGCAGGCTTCCAACAAGCCAAGACAAAGAGCGAGGTCAGAATTTCATTGGCCAGTGGAACACCATCACAGTATCTTGACAACGTGAGGCCAATATCACATGTCTGCTGCTATATTAGAAGATGGTGTGGTGGGATGCAGATCTTGTGTTGGCTCATACAATGCAGAGCTCCTTGTAGCATTCCTTATGAGCTAAATCTGGTCTCTGGGACTGCTGGGGAATTCTGTGATACTGTGTGGGACAATGTTAATTTGCATGATGCTTTCAGGTGCAGCCATGGTTTCAGGATCATCCGCAGTTCACCACCACAGACTTGCCCATGCACTCTCCTTTCCTCTGTGTGACTGAGGATTTTTCCCCACATGGAAGTAGAAAATATGTGACAGGCATCTGCATCAACAAGTGATCATCCTCCAGACATGCAACATGAGTGTCGGGCCTGGACTCGCCAAAGGTTCTTTCCAATATGTTCCAATATGTATATTATTTTTAGCAAATTGCTTTCATTTAAAGGGAACCACGCTGTTATTTACAGTGTATTTTATCTATCTAGTCGGCTATTTTTCTTCACTTATCTGGGTCCCAGTTGTGGGGGCAGCAGACTAATTGAAGACCAAGTTTTTTCCCAAGCCAAATGGGAGATGTAATCTCTCTAGCATGTCCTGGGTCTGCCCCAGAGGCCTCCTGTTGAGTGGAACATGCCTGGAGCAACTCATCTAGGAGGTGCATAGCAGAGGCTCTCCTCGTCTTACAGTGGATTTCATTAGTAAATTTAACATTTGTTCATTGACTCCACTGCATCTGTTGTATTCTCTCTACTGGTTCTTTTACAGTAACGACATATGTGTATTGCACGTACTCTAATATTCATTGATTTTCTGAACAACTAAACAGTGAAACTGTACCAGTTTTCCTTAAAAACATATGAACGTAAATGCAGTGTTTTGAACGAGAATTTTGTTTTTAGCGTTTTGAAAAATGACATCCAGGTTCTGAAACTAGTGCCAAAGCTATGATTTGAAAATTGTAGCATTTTATCATTTTACTGTAATTATGCTGGCAATATTTATCATGGCACTTAAAGGCTGACACAGCGTATTTGATCTCTCTGTTAATAAATGAATGTGTATCTGGTATATTGTCTATTTCATGTATCAGTGTGTGCAGCGGTGTAATGAGCTGTGACTCAATATTTAAAATTTGGGTAAAAGATATTTAAAATGCACAGTTATCAACTCACAATGAGTGCAACATGAATGGGGGCGTGTATGATGTAGGGCAGCTGAGTGTGTATGCTCATCCAGCACCTGAAACAAACACAAAGAGGAAATCATTGTTCATCGTTTGTGCCACACTCAATGAACACTGCAATTTGATGAGATAATTCTATATTTTATAATTCCTCTCAACAAAAGACTGTGCTATGAGGCTAGAGTAAAGACCTGCAAAAGCACTTTATTCTTTGAGTCCATACCGGAGGCCGAACAAAGGATCACAGTGTTTTTTTTAATATTCTTATATAGTCTCTTATGTTTTATTGTATAAAAATATTTTACTGAGAAAGCAGTTAAATTGACAGATATTCAAAAAAAACCTCCCCAAATTTTAAAAACTTCGAAATTTCGTAATGGAAGCTCTGATTCAACCCAAATTAGATGTGACAGATGTGGGCAGAGGGTTCTTCTACGTATCTGAAAAAAAGAATATAAATATCATGATGGACTGATTGAATAGATTATAAAAATATAAAGATCAGTAAACACCAAACATTTTTTGGGGGAGAAGGTCTGACTGTGATGAATCCAGCAATATAAACCATGTGACTGTATCAGGTGAACTTAATATTCTACATTAAAAAAGCACGTAGCAAATAAAATAAAGGGGTGGAAGGGCTGGAGCTATCAAATTATCCAAAAACTATAACTGACAAATTAAAAATATAATACCACAATATATTTTACTCAACTAATGTCAAAGGTGTTCATCTGCTTATAATAATGATGATGGCAAAACATCTTTTACGAAGCTGCTATTGACATAGTCACTATATAAACTATCCCTATAAGCCACAATCTTTATCAGTGTTTTCGCAGACTGTAAAGATTGTGGCTTATGGGAATGGGTCACATTGCAGCTTGTACATGTGGATTACAGTGAATCAAATTACTCTCAGCGAGTCAGGCTTTGTCAGTCATTAGCTTATATCCATTATATACTGACCTTAGTTTGTTGAACATTTTTCAGTCAAATATTTCTATACAAGAATCCACTTCATATTTTAGAGACTATAGAAAAGATGAAAAACTCTCTTGTGCCTTGCTCTACTTCCAGTACGGATATCTCTACACGTCTTACTACATTTCTCATCTTAGTCTGAACTTCTGATTTACAGAGATGACAATGGCAAAACAGTAAATGTGCTGCATCTTACGGGTCGTTATGGAAAAGCCCACGAGCCACAGCGTATGTGACAGCAGGAATGATGGGAAAACCTTTGGACAGAGAGAGAGAGAAAATCAGAAATGAATACTAGACTGACACCCAGGATCTCTGCAGAGGCTGCTGCAGCCGCAGCAGAACATCTTAGTGTATTAGTGAATGAGGATGTATATGTATGTATAATATATGTTCACGTGTTTGGATACAGTGCTGTGAAAAAGTATTTACCCTCTTCCTGATTTCTTAGTTTTGTTTTGTTGTTTTTTTATATATATATTTGTCATGCATGTCATGTTTCAGATCATCAAGCAAATTTTAATAGTGGACAAAGATAACCAGAGTAAATAATTAAGAGGAAATAATAATAATAATCCCCTTCACAATAATATTAAGGGGGAAAAAAGCTATCCCAACCTACCTGGCCCTTTGTGGCCAGAGCCAGGTCTGCAAATTTGCTGCTAACATGATGCAAATTCCTACATAACTAGACTAAGCAACTCCAAGAAGAATTGGAAAAGGCACAAATGTGTTTGATCCTCCTGACTCACCCCACCCCAGGATGTAGTACCAGAAGAGCTGCTGTTCCCCAACAAAGACGGCCACTATGATGAGTGTGTGGAGGTAGATGCCTTCACACAGCATCCAGAAGTAGGTGGAAGTAGAGGTATACTGAGTCAGCACAGCCAGGATCTTACAGTTCACCTGATGGAGGGGATATCGTAAGTCCTTATATACTGAATATGTTATAAGCAGATCTTTTTATAAATATGTAATTAAACACAAACAGAGGACCACAGGTGAAAACTGAGAAAGGCACTAGACTATGGATTATAAGGCCTTTTTGAAAACAGAGAAAACTCATGAGTGTAATGAGATGAAGACTAGTTGGTAGCTCACAGAGTTGCTGGTGTCTGTGCCCTGGTTATTGACTATGCTGAATGTGAGCCATATCATAGTAACAATTGAGTTTAAGATGAAGGAAAGAAACATGTTCTTATGAAGGGAGATTCTCTGGCAGCTAAGGCTTCTGAAAGAGAGCAGAGAGAGCAAAGGATCAGCATTAGTGGACTGCCGTATTAGTTACGGGTGCTTCAGAGTGAACTAATACTTTTCTCAGGTGATTATTATTCCCATTCAAGCAATCGCCATTATTTTCTATGATAATTTAATCATATGATTATGAAGAGGGAAAAAACCAGAAGCAGTCAATTAACCCAGACAGAAGAAACCTCCCATGACTCACTTGAAGTAGGAGAAGATGGTCAGACTGATGACTAAGGACACAATGGAAAGACTATGACCCACCATGGCCATGTAGTAGACACTGATGGCAAGCTGCAGGGAAAAATTGCTCAGCTATGATGAATGTAAATAGATTTATCGCTGATTAAGAGTGATTTTCTTTTAAAATTAAGATGTTAGCCAGCACAGGAAAAGTAATACAATCTTTGCATCTTCTCTTCACAGTATGTGAAAGCAGCACACAGCAATGCAAATAAAACAACTGTAAACTCTCTTCTGAGAGAGAAAGTATTTGCTGGATGGCCATCAATTAAGATGCACTAAACAGTAATCATTGCTGGAGAAATGGCATGGGAATTTTAAATTGATTAAAGACAATATACAAAAGGTCTGACAGGCTTTAGAGATTTGTTTCTGACAGGAATATTCTTCAAACAACTGGCTTGTTCAGTCTAGACATGAGGTCGATTAGACTAAAAGCAGATTTGAGCAAGGTGAAAATTTCTATCAGAACTCTACTTAGACAGATTTTTGTTGAAAGTGCGAATAAATTCTAACTCCAGTCAGAAAATTTCACAAAAAACATTCATTTATTCAAAAAAATAGCTCCCGAAACAGTGGCACACAGAACCACGCTGAGTCCAGATTACAGTAAAGGCCAATGCTCCAATTTGGTCAATTCAGCCAAAACCAAACCAAATTAAACAAATGCAGTAAATGGTGAAAATAGCTCCATTTTACCTTGAGTTTGTGGTTAGTGTGTGCAGAACACATGGTGTAGTTAGACCAGATTCTCTTGCTCTCTGGGTGATGGAACCACTGGCCATCAGGATTACAGACTTTGGTAACCCTCTCTGTTGAATGAACAGATTTTACATGTTGTCATAGTTGGCAATGATAGGCCCATTATACATGAAATACAGCACGTGGACGATTTGTAGTACATGCAGTTAGGTCTGTTCTTTGCTGCACAAAGGGACAATCGTTGCAGTTTCGCCCCTGCAAACCAGCACAGTGGATTTTAAATAAAACAATCAAATTGTCCTTGAAGTGAAGGCTTTTAGCTTTAATTAAAAGGGTTTAACAAAATTATTACAGTTTAACAATTGCAACAACTTTTAAACACAGTCCCCCATTTTTGAAGTCTCTAAATTAGTTAGACAAACTAACTTAATTTTTAAATATCAGGACTGTTTTTAATACTTACATGGAGTCAATGACTGCCTTAAGATGTTAACCCATGGACATCTTTAAATGCTGTTTTTTCACCCTTGAAATGATCTGCCATGTGTTTACTGTAGCTTATTTAAGTTACTGTTTGTTTGTGGAACTTTCTGCATTTAACTAGCGAAAGGGTTGTTTTTGCAATATGCTTTGGGTCATTTTCGTCTTACCCAACAGTTTTGCAGCATTTGGCTGAGTATATCCCTGTTCACTTCAGTATTCATCCTGCTATTTCAACTAAAAGTCAAAACACCATTCATCACTAGTGATCTAGTTCCACTAGCAGCCGTACGGGCACATGCCATAACAAAGTCTCCACTATGTTGGACAGATGATTCCGCTTTCTCTTCCTTTTCTAGTAAATTACCCTTAGTTTCATCAGATTTTTCTGGAAAGTCAAATCTGGTTTTCAGGTTCATTAATGTAACCAGTGGTTTGCACCTTGTTGTAAACCATCTGTACTTCATTCATGAGGGTGTCTCTCGATTGCAGACTTTTGACAATGACATGCCTACCCCCTTGAAAGTGTTCTTGACTTGGCTAAATGTTTCAGAGTTGGTTTTCTGAACCATCGACAGAATTCTGTCATCATCCTCTCTAGATTTCTTCTGATCAGTGCAAAATTTTTTTTTTTAACACTGCACAAGATTGTTGATTTGGCGACTCCTTTAGTTTTTTCGATCACACTAATAGATTTTGATCCTAATGATGGGCTTCTTCACTTGCACTGATAACTTTTTGAGCCTTACATTGACTAAAATGACTAAAAAAAATCTATAAAACACAAATTCATTACTTTGAATAAAATTCAGACATTACGTGTCCTTTATTTCTCACGAAATAGCAAGGGAATGGACACCTGTCCAAGAAACTTCTTGTCAGTCCAATGAAAATGAAAATTGGTGACTATGTATCGACTATGTATAGAAATGCCTCTAATTCCTAAACAAATAATACAACATTTTTGTTAAACCCGTTTGATTGTGATTTAGAGATCAATCACATCTTCATTACTTGATTTAAAGATTAACTATGGTGGTGTAAATTCAAAACGATAACTATCTTTGTTCAATTTATTATTGACTTAACTGTATCAGTAGTACAAATAAAAAAGAAGAATACAAAGAGACACATATTTAACATGTGTGTCCATTAGGGCCTTACCAGTAGGGTCAAAGTCCATAAAATATGCTGGACACATCTGCATGACAGTTCCTGGAGCTGAATCTTCCCAACATAGCCAGCCATCCCATGTACGGTTACAATAAGGGCCTAAAGAGGGCAGAGGAGAAATGTCATTGAGATTTGCATGTCTGTGCAGTGGTAATTTAGGGAAAGATAACCATAACACACACACACACACACACACAGAGAGAGAGAGAGAGAGAGAGAGAGAGAGAGAGAGAGCAGCTGGATAGTGGTAACACTATAAGCCTTTTGGAAGTTCTAACCAAGTGGTGGCTAAGATGAATAGGCGCATAGACAGGGGTGCACATAAGTGGTCCGCAGGTGCGCATTCGCTGTCAAAATAAAAGACGTGCACCAGATAAGAAGTTGCAACGCATGTTTGCGTAGATATAAAAGGCACTGTTTTTGTCCGCTAGAGTGAGATTTTCACGGCATATTCTGCACCACATCTCTGTGCGTTCATCATTTGAAGCCAGCTCACCTCCTGCAACCACTTCCAAGAATATGTGCTTCTTTTGCGGTTCGTACTCCTTATGACATTTCTTTGGAGGTGGAGGAACACCAAAGTAATTGGTTAAAGGAGCTTATCTGGTGCGCATCTTTTATTTTGACAGCGAATGCGCACCTGCGGACCACTTTTGTGCACCCCTGCACATAGCTCAATACAGCGGCACACAGAAAGGAATTGGCAGTAATACCAGAGGGGTAAAACACCAGGCACTTGTAGACAGAGCAGTTCCTCAAGACTGTAAGACCAGACTGACCAACATGTGCACTGCGTGGATTGACTACAAGAAAGCATATTACTCAATGCCCCATACATGGATCCTAGAATACCTAACACTATACAAGATCAACAGGACCTTAAGAGACTTTAAACTTTGTAATATTTGCAGATGACACAAATATATTTTGTTCAGGTGTGGAATTGACACAGGTTTTGGAGATTATCACACAGAAATTAACGATATTAAAGAAGTGGTTTGATATAAATGAATTATCATTGAATCTAGATAAAACCAAATTTATGTTGTTTGGAAACCAAAATAAGAATATCAAAGTAGAAATATGTGTTGACAATGTATATTTAGAAAGAGTAAATGAAATAAAATTTCTTGGTGTGATCATTGACCACAAGGTCTGTTGGAAACCACATATTACTTATGTTCGAGGGAAATTGGCACGGGGCATTGCCGTCCTGGGGAAAGCAAATAATATATAAAGTAAGAAATAAGATGCTTCCAAAAGAAATCTGTAAATTGTTTATAGAAAGACAAGGTGGGTGTAACTTAAGAGGGAAATGGAATTTAAAAATACAAAGTGCTAGAACAACTTTAAAAAGTATGTCTATCTCTATAGCAGGAGTTAAATTATGGAACAGTCTAACAGAAGAAATGAAAGAAAGTAACAACATAAACTAGTTTAAAACGAAATATAAAAAACAAATTTTTAACAAATATAAAAATGAAGAAAACAGGGTTAACCCAGTGCGGAAATGTTGTTCGTAATAGTGTTTTAGTTTGTTTGTCTCATAATTTGTCAATCTGCAAACGGTCCTTATTTATATGAAAGTAACTATACTGTGGTGGGGCTTGTTTACTTGTTTTGTTTATTTGTTTGTTTTGTTTTGTTTTGTCTTTGCTTTACTTTTACTTCATATGTTGTTTGTTTAATTTAAGGCTAAAAGAAAATTAAATCAATGAGAGGCAAAATTTGAGGGGGTAGGAAATAATAAGTGTAGACTTCTGCCTACTCCTTTTCAAACAAAAGAATGGAATGATATTTTGTAATGAATGTGAAGGTGAAATAAAAATGAACTGAACTGAACTTCATTATGAACTCAATGGGGACATGGCAAACAACTCTGGAAGCCAACTTCAAACCAAACTGCATTGCTGTTCTACATAAGCCTTAAACCCCTTGGTGATCAATGGCTATGGATACCGACTATGGAATGGAGCAATTCACAGCCACCTCCTCTACATGGATGACATCAAGCTATATGCCAAGAGTGAATGAGACATTGATTCACCAATCCGCACCACTAGGATCTACAGCAGTGACATTGGAATGTCATTCAGATTGGAGAAAGTTGAATAGTAACAAAGAGAGCAAAGGTAGTCAGAAAAGAGGGGATCAAACTGCCAGAAATGAATTCCTCAGGCAGCAGAAACCCAAGAAAGAAGAAGAGCAAGGAGAAGAATCATCATGGTAGGACAAGCCCCTTCATGGTATGTATGAAGGCAGATTGAGGAAATTGTATCAGTGGCTGGACAAAGTTGGACTGAAAGACAATACAGAGGCCCTAATCATGACACCACAAGAAATAGGTCTTAGCACGAGCTCAATAGAAGCAGGGTTCTACCACACCAAGCAAGAGGTGCAGGCTGTGCAAAGATTCCCTGGGATACATGGAACAACATAAACAAGTGGCTAGCATATATACAGAAACATCCGTGCTGACTATGGCCTGGAAGTCCCACGGTCAAAATGGGACATGGTTCCTAGGGTGGTTGAGAATGACCAAGCTAAGTTCCTGTGGGACTTCCAGATACAGACAGACAAACTGGTGATAGCTAACCAGCCAGACATGGTAGTGGTGGATAAGAAGCGGAGGAATATGGCTGTAGTGATAGATGTAGCTATACTGAGTAATAGCAACATGAGGACGAAGGAACACAAGAAGCTTGAGAAGTAGGGCTGAGAGAAGAACTCAAGAAGATGTTAAGGGTGAAGGCAATGGCTGTTCCATTGGTAATCAGAGCACTGAGTGCAGTGACCTTGAAGCTTGGCGAGTGCCACCAGTAGATCCCAGACATCCAAGATTTCTGTCCAGAAGAGCGCAGTCCTAGGAACAGCAAAGATACAGCTAAAAGAACACCCGCAGGGGCGAGAGGCACCCTAAAGTGATTATACACCAACTGCTCATTTTGAATTTATTTTATCATCCACAGGCAACCCTTTAAATTATTATTACTATTTATATAGATTTTCCATTCATTATAAATAGTGTGTTACTCTTATATAGAGAGTGTAACCACAGCTGGGCTACACAAAGCTTCTCAACAATACTCGGAAATTCGCTTATACCAGGTCCCACAGAGGCATGCTGGGAATTGAAACACACAATAACATTTCAAAGGCAGTGAAGTACTGAATGGGAGTAACAGGCACTGGGGAAATACAAAGGGCAAGTTTCCTTTCTTTCTGACTCACTTCCTCTCTCTCTCTCTCTCTTCCTCTTTCTCTCTGTCCCTATCTCTTTCTCTTTTCCAAGGAATGTGCACACACCAAATATGAAGGACTGCCAGTAATACACCTCACTTCCTTACTATTCAACTGCTATCAGTTACTTAATATGTTATATGTTGCTTTACGATATATATATACACACTACTGTGCTGTAAACAAAATGCTGTAAACAAAGAGTGCTTTCAGAAAAATAAATGATTGTTTGTTGGCCCCAAATGTATTCTACAGCAGGATAATGACCCCAAACACACAGCCAAAGTCATTAAGAACTCTCTTCAGCGTAAAGAAGAACAAGAAGTACTGGAAGTGATGGTATGGCCCCCACAGATCCCTAATATCAACATCATCAAGTGCCTTTATGTATTTTTACTTGATAAACAGAAAATACAGCAACTGCTTTATCACACAGAGAGGTCTACACAATAGCAATGGACTCCTTTACTGCCCCCGAAAGGTGGAGGATGGAAATTATCCAGACTTTTGTTGATGGTGTTTCAGGGGTTTATTTCAAGCCAATTTCACATTCTAAAACAACTTAGTGGGTTAGCGGTAAACAACCCCACCTCCTGTGTATGCTTGCTCTACGGAGCTTTTAAATGCCATTGCTACCAACATTTAAAGTCTTCCGATATAGGTGAGGAATTTGAGGAGTTTTTCTTCTCCCTTGGTGAGATCATGAGTGAAAGTTTTATTTTCCTTTTCCCTTTCCTCTTCATTTACTAGTAATGCAACAAGTCATCTGATCTAGCACTGGCTCTGATAATATTATGTGGAATGTTTTCCAAACACAATGAAAATAGATGAATTTTTATTAATTAATTTTATTAATTAATTGTTTCATGCATACTGTGCATGTTTATATTTGCAGAAGAAGGGATTTCAATGCTTCTTTAATACTGCAGCATCCTCCATCTACCAGGAATAATATACTTAAAAGAAATTCATCCAGCTGGGATAAGTGCTTATAGTTTATGAGCATATGGAACAATGGGTAAAGTGTTATCATCACCTCCTTCTGTTACTGGATCGTGGATTATTTTCAAGTAGCATTCAAACTGAGCAGCCAGGATCTGCCGTCTCGACTGTCCAAGTAAGTCGGCCAAATCCATGTTAGTAAAATTCTCCTGTCGTGGCATTGTTTTTTCAGTGACCGCCAGGGACTCCGTATCCTGACAGTGGGCCACCTGGGCAAGGTAGTCATCAAAAACAAAGAGTATGTTAGAGATACTACAAATCTATGTCCTCTAATTTAATCAAAGCACATTCTGGCTTTGACATAAAACATTAGACACTTAAATAGCTAATGGGTGAAAGGAGTACTCACCTCTGTGAAGAGTGCCAGTGCAACCAGCAGGGAGAGTGTTAGGGTTTTCCACATTTCTCTAAAAGGAAAAGAAGAACATGAACAATGTAATTGTGAAACATCTGTACGCTATGTCTCCCACCATATGTACATGTGAAGTAGCTTCAGCTGCTTCATTCAAGTACGACATAAAACCACCAATAGCATACATGAAATCAAGCGCTCCGCATAGCGTCACTGTTGCAGGCCGAACCCAAATGCCTCTGTGTGAACGCACGGTTTTATAAGCACATCCGTGTATGTTTATTCGCTGTTTGTGTATCTTCTCATTTATCAGCAAAGGAAGTTCATGCTCCCGCAGTCATTTCTCTCTACTGTCCACTTAAGGTCACAGAAACAGATGTGTGTTTATTGTTATTTTGGGGCAAAAGAGCAGCGAGTTCCCTTTAGCTTTTCATCTTTAATGAGCCAGCCAGTTACAGAGTCTCTAACAACAAATACACAGTCAGTGCTTTAATTCTGTTGTTCTCGCTCTCTATAGTCAGACTTTGTTTCGGGGATTTGCTCAATGCAAAAATCTACAGCTGCATATTCTGTTTAATTTTTTCTCAAAGCAAAATGTATTGTGAAACTGAGGCATCTACATTTTTTTAAGATTTCAAATGATTAAAGTCAAACACAACTGATAAAATAGCAACATTTTATCAACATGGTTACAAAAATATTTTGCCAGATGTGAAAGGGATATAAACTGAAGAGTGTATGAGAAAAATATCTGAAAAAGCAATAAGAGTTCACATTATTGTCAATAAATTCTCTGTAGGGGACAAAGTAATGAAAGCATTTTGACAGATGCGAATAAGAGAGATAGAAAAGCAAAAGGGGAAAGAAATGTGTGGAAATGTTGTGAGTCAGCGGTGTTGTTTCTCTAAATATTCAGTTTTATAATTATTTTTGTGTGTGTAAAAGAGCCTGGAGAGAAGAGCTCTCAGAATACAGGCAGACTTGATTTCATCGTCCAAAATCTTCTGCGTAACTGGATCATTTTTTTCCCCCGCTCAATCCAACAGACTCATATAAGATGAAAACGTTTAAGTTTACAACTGAAATATTCTTGTTTGATGCTTTTATCTCTGTTGCTTATTTACTCATTGTGACAATAGAATATATTAAAAATAGTTTTGTAACTCTCATGAAAATTTAATTCCCTTATTTTTAATTGAACATACACTGGTGATGAAAAGAAAGAAACAAACACTGAACCGAGTAGGTGAGGACAGTGAGCAGGCTTGGTAGACAGATTATCAAATAACAGGACCCATCAAATGCTTAGTTATTCAAATAATTAAACAGTTAAGAAAACATGCTTAAAATATAAACTTAATGTATATCAATTAAGTAAATTTCATTTGACCAGATTCCAATAAATGTAACATTTTATATTCTACACAAGTAAAATTACCATATAATAAAATGAAGTTAAGTCAGCATTATGGACATCAATATTTTTTTAGTGTACTAAGCATATACCTAAAATAAACTAAAATAACACAGAAAATTAAATGTATGCTGATTTCTTCACAGATTACAACTTGTTCAAAGTTCTTGCTGACTTGCATTGGCTACCCATCAAATATTGTATTGATTTTAAAATCTTGTTGCTAATAAATAATATTGCGCCTAGCTATCTCACTGACCTTCTCAGCCTGTACACTCCTAGTCGAGCGTTAAGATCATCAGGTCAGTTACTCTTGGTGCAACCTAGGTCTCGGCTGAGGACCAGAAGACGATCGTGCCTTTGTCTCAGCTGCACCTAACCTCTGGAACAGCCTTCCTGCTACTACTATTCGTGCCTCGGACTCTATCCAATCTTTCACATTACGGTTGAAAACTTACCTATTTAATCTGGCATTCCCGACAAGCTAGTGCCCTCATCTCATCTATTTTAATCTTAGTATTGTATCTTTGTTTAGCCTCTTAGCTGATATTATATTTGTATGAATTGACCCTCCGAATTGAGGTCTGATACCTACTTTATTTAGCCCACACTTCTGGTCTAATTAGTGCTTCCCATCTGTTAGTGTTAGTGCTAGTGCTTGTTTTGTATTTTGGTAATGCCTTTTATATAAATTTATTTTGATCTATTGTAATATTGTGAAGCACTTTTCAAGCCTTTGGTTTTAAATGTGCTATATAAATAAAGTTGTATTGTATTCTTATAATTCTGGACACAGACTGGATGTCATGTACTTAAAACATGCGTAAAACAGCTTAAACTACACTTATTATAATTAAAATATCAGTTCGCCAATGTTAAATGTTAAGGTCAAGTGTTTCTCAAACTAGGTTCGAAGTGAACACACAGGAATTGTCCCAAGCTCATTACAGTAAAGCTTGCCTGCAAGATTCTTTCCAAACTGCTTGCTTCTGCAGTTTTCCTCCACCAACCCAGAGAAAGTTTTGGTATTGCTGAGTCTGCTAAGATCAAGTGCAACCACGGATTACTTTAGATTGTTTAACCACATCTTTTTCCCCCAGCTGAGGAGTATTTCAAATTGACTGCAGCACAGTGTGTTTTTGCATTCTTTACATTAAGAATCATAGACTATTATCTTTACTACTACCCTGTGCAAATAGGTTTCTGATTTGGTCTTTTGATGGTGTCCTACCAGCGAAGAACAACATCATAGCCACAGGCTATTGTAGCCTGCCCTTCCTTTTTTTTTCTTCGCATCACAAACTGTGCTGTGACAGTTTTTCCCATGAACTTCAGTTCTGAGTTTCTGTCAGTGACAATGATGACACGCACAAACACACACAAATATTTATAATTATGATTCAATCCATCAAGAACCAAACAATGATTGCCCCTCTTTCTGTTTTGTACACAGTTGCCTCTCGTAATGTATTGTTCCCCATCAGAACATTGTTAACCCAAGGACACGCACCCGCACATAACATAATGCCTTGGCAAGTGCTCGCTATGTGCCATTGTCACCAATAAACACTGCTTGCAATCTATCTGTGAATTGTAGCCAAGTGGTTTGGATTGTCTTTGTTTTGCAGTAACAAACTGAGATGCTATTGCTGATTCGTCACTTCCTTTGTCCCTGTGGTTTTATTGTCTTTTATTTTCTCCCAAGCCGTCACCTCTCAATTTGAACTTAGGTGATCCAGATGTATGCTGATTTGACTGTACCCAGAGAATTGTGTGTCCTATATTCAGCCAGACACATTAAGACGCACACATACAATAAAGCCAACACCCTTTCCGCTTGATCTCTTTCTTTTTCTCTTACTGCTGCTCTTGAAGACTCTTCCTCTCAAACTATTTTTTGTCCTCTGGTTTGTCTCATCCTACACTGCTTCCTGTCAGCATTTATTTCAGTCATACCGGTTCATCAGGTGAGAACAAAAGCCCGAAAATCACTGACATGTCAGTGACACTGAAGAATGTTGTGACTGCTTTTTTTTTACGGCTATGAAAAAGAGCTGGGAATCACTGCTGACCAGTGTTTGAACTCAGAGATTCAAACAGTGTTTAAAAAAGAAAAGTCGTACTGAGTGCAGACATAAAAAACACATCACTTTGACAAAGCATCAGCACATGCGGCTTACAATAACCTGGTTCATGAAGAAAACAATGAGTCTTTATACTGTAGCTCTGAGCACCATTACCACTGTAGCTACAGCAGGCCAGCTGGGACAGTATCACTAATACTGTGTAAAACAACAATAACATAAGTTTTCCCCCTAATTTAGTTAACCTTTCCACAGCATTATATTAAGAAATTTTACTTTATAACTCACTATGCTGTCTGCTTAAGTATAAACAGCAATAAATCTAACAATCTCCAAATTTTGACCATGTTTATTAAAAGTCCCAGCACTGTCTGCAGTACATGTAGGAGAGTAGCATAACAGCTGAGCAGACACTGATGTGGGTCAAGTCATTGTGCTTTTCTTGTGTTGCATTGCATTACTTGGATAGATATTTATATTGCACTATTCTACACTTACCCAGAGCTCAAATATTTACACTGTAAAACCAAAAGATCCACACACATACACGGAGCAGTTTCTATGCCCTTTTGGTGCATTTTGTCCAGCACACGCGCGCTCATTGCCACTACATGATGGTTCAGTAACTTGCAAGAAGGTTCCCCCTGATTAGTAGACCTAAGACACGGCTTTGGTTTTAATCAGCTGTGCTGTGATTTGCACCATATTTATACTTGAATGATCAGTTTTCCATAGACAAGGTTTTTTTCTTATGAAAAATAATTAAAAGTCTGTTAAGGCTTTCTTGTGGTTCCTTGACTTTCCAAATTTAAAGCCTTCATCTGTCAGGCTCCTCACCTGTGGAATCAACCCTCAGTTTGACTTCAGGAAGCAGACATCCTCTCTACTTTTCTGCTCATACGCTACTTATCCTTTTCTTTTCTCTTTCCTCTCAAACCCAACAGATCGTGGTAAAAGACTCCCGCCTCTCTGACCTTGATTGTGCTTGAGGTTTCTTCCTGTTAAAAGGGAGCTTTTAATTTCCACCGTCACCTACTGTTTTCTCACAGGTTATCATTTCCCCATTGACACTGTACGTGTTTACCCTACAGTATAAATTGCCTGAAGGTGTTGTTGTTGTGAGCTGGGGCTAAACAAATAAACCTGAATTAAATTAAATACTTTAAAGATTAGGTTTCAAACTTTCTTTTTTATCGGGCAGATCTTGTACACTTGGGTCTGTTGATCAGCACCTATTCGTAATAGCAATTTTCCAGTGGACTTGCACAGCTGACCCTGCATTCTCAGTCATAGCCCCAAAACTCTGGAATCATCTCCCTCCTCAGATTAGGTCATCTACCCAACTACCAATCTTGAATTCCCAACTTTAAACATTCTTGTTTTCATTTTCCAGCTTCAGGCCAGCTTCTGTTTTATTTTCCCCACTGTGTCTCTTTTTCTTTTACTATCTTCATTTTTAGTATTTATCAAAGTTGTTATGAATTTATTTTTATTATTATTTTTTTAATCCCTCATTTGTATTGTTTTCTTTTTTGATTGATTGATTGATTTTGATTT